CGAATAGCGAAACGTAGGCTATAATTCTTTCCTCTTTTTTTTCCCACGGAAGCCCCCCCCCCCACCCCCACCCCCAAAAAAAAAGCCACAAAAAAACAACCACCAACAAACAACACCAAAAACACCAACAACAAACAACACCAAAACAAAACAAAACACCCCCCCCCAAAAAACAAAAACAAAAACAAACAAACAAAGCAAAACAAAACACCCCCCCCCCAAAAAAAAACAACCAACAACCAAGGGCGCCCGTTTTTTTTTAGGGCCAAATAATGACTAAATGCGCCTTCTCGGGGAGGCAATAATACCTTGATCTTATTTTTATAACGTAATGATAATAGATAACAAGAAGAAAAATTCAGTCGTTGCCAGAAACATAGGAAAACTTGTCGATTAAGTATTTCACAGAAGAATAAGTGTGTGTGAGCTGTGTACCCTAGTATGAATGTGGGTATCCGTGCTTATGTGTGTGTTTGTGTGTGTGTGTGTGTGTGTGTGTGTGTGTGTGTGTGTTTCAAAGCTTATGCTGTGTGTCCATGTGTGTGTGTGTGTGTGTGTGTGTGTGTGTGTGTGTGTGTGTGTGTGTGTGTGTGTGCACGCGTATGTCTTGGGGCGCACAGGCACGTGTGTATGTGTGTGTGTGTGTTTGTGTTTGTGTGTGTGTATGTGTCCGTGTGTGTGTGTATGTGTGTATGTGTGTGTGCGTGTGCATAATATGCATGTGTGTGCGTGTGCGTATGCGTGAGTGCACCTATGTGTGGGTGTGCGTGCGTGTGCGTACGTATGTGCGCCCGCGCGCCCAATGCGTGCTAGCATGCATTCCTATTGGGCAAAGTGGGACAGCACAGCGAAGGTATAATCTTTTGAGCTGTGGGCCCCTGTCTTACTATTATGGTTACAAGCTCAACACATTGGCTCAATGTTGACATTGCTTGATCGCATAACCTCATGACCTGCCAGTACCCGGGGTATTGGCGAAGACCTCCGCTTTGCACACTTCGCTCTCGAGAAGCCATAAGCAGTCATTTGCCTTTGTACTTACGTTCTTTTATCAGCATTAGTGATCTGGAGGAGTGGGTATACTGCGGATATTGTCAATCCCAATCTGTGAATGCCCTCTGAACAGAGTAACGCGTCGCAATATTAGAATACAAATGCAAGAGACTATTTCTGTAATAATTTATTTGTCAGGAAACTTTGTGGTCAGGTTCACTATTTGCCTTACAAAACTGACTGAGATTTGTCAGGGGGGCGCTCCGTTTAATTCAGCTAGTAACGTGCTTAGAAAGGAACCGAATGACCCCGGTCCAATCACTATCCAGACATTCGTAAATCTGGGTATCTTTCAATAGGTTTCAAGGCTTTCTGCCAACCTTGCTCGGTCTTATCTGAGATGGGTGTTAACTCAAAGGTCCTGTTTCTGAAATACCCTTACCAAAGACTTTGCCCTTGCAGCGTTGAGAGAGTTTGTTATATTATTATTGTCCGGTGCCCATTGGAGGACCGATCGGTTCGGTTTGGTTCGGTTTCTGACGGCGTCCGTGCACACTATTAATAGACCAACTGTCCAAACCAATCGTCCGGTGCGCGGCCTTGAAAAACAAACGTGTTTGTTATTGAAGGTTATCATCGGTTTTGTCCGATTCGTCAGTTTTGCCTCTCCCTTGGAGACTAGCCCCAAACAAACAAAACAAACAAAACCGAACCGAACCAATGATCCCAATGTGCACCGTCTATAATATGCACATGAATCCATGTGATCAGGGCTCTCAAACTCACAGTACTTGCGGCTCGCTGGGGTTAGAGCTGCTATGGTGAGTCTGGATGGCGTCAAATATTGCTCCCAAAAGAGCGTTTCAAGTTTATTAAAAAGTTGAATTTTTATCAAAATAGCAATTTATGATAATTCATGAAATGTTTTTCAAACATACGCTTCTCTTACCTACTCCTTGCTGTAAGAGACCTGGCAGCAATTCCTCTTACATAGCTTAGACAGCGCTCTCTCTCTCTCTCTCTCTCTCTCTCTCTCTCTCTCTCTCTCTCTCTCTCTCACACACACACACACACACACACACACACACACACACACGTGCATACACACATACACACGTACATATATACACATATACGCACATACTCACATACACATGCACTCACACGTACATACACATATATACACATACACACACATGCACACATACGCATACACTCACACACACACACACACACACACACACACACACACACAA